ATGGCAATTTTTACTAATGTAGGTCATGAATTGACATAATTTCATTATTGATCCTCATTAGTACGATACTGTACTACATTAAAGATGATGATTGATGAATGTTTGGTGCGGTATTGTGAATGGATACATCATTGGTCATTTAAAAATTTTTTTAATTACATTTACATCCTTTTAATTACTTTTTAATTACATTTTAATCCTTACAAGCGCGATTTATAACAAGTTTTTGAAACAGAAATTGCTGGAACTTTAAGAATGTTAATCTTAAAACTCGATAGAAATAAAGTTTCAGCAGGATAGAGCGCTTGCACATTATGATCACAGAGTTCAAAGTGAACCTGTTTCTAGAACGCTGGATTAGAAGAGATGGTCCTATTATCTGACCAGCTAGATCTTCAGACCTAATACCGTTAGATTTTTTTTTCTGGAGTTATCTTAAGGATACCGTATATCGAAAGACTGAATAATCCTGATGAGTTGAAAGCGCGAATTACAACGGTCTGTCAAAACATCTCATCAGAAACATTATCAAATGTATTGCAATCATTTAAACATCGTATTACTATTTACATTCGTTGTCAGAGACGGTTTAAATATGTTCATCCAAGGTCAAATAGCCAAATGCGATAAGTGATAAGCATTTGGCCATTTGATCTTGAAACGATCTTGAATCATAACGCATTGAACTCGTAATGAATAGCACTACAAACGTAGGTGTTTAAAAAATTAAGTTGTCATTTTAACAAATTAAGTTGTCATTTTAACAAATCAAGTTGACCTTAATTTGACTTTTATGCCTTCACTCAACATTTTTTTTTTTTATCAAAATATGTTCCTTTCGATATCATACAACAATCATGAAAACATGATTTCGATATCTCGTATGATTCCAAAAAAATTCAAGTGCATTGATTAAAATGGGACATCCTGAATATGCGATATTTTTATTCCAAATTGAATAGCGGTGCGTTTTAGTCTCATTTTACTCGTAAACAAACCATAAAAGTACACCATGAATTAGCAAAGTATGATCTATTTATTGATCACGGTTATTACGGCCGAAAAAGGTGCGCCTCATATTACTCAATATGCACGTGTAATTAAGAAAGGCTGCACCTAGCTCTCAATCGCACACTGTGCGGTGCCAAGCATGCGTCCCGAAAAAAAGGAACGGCATCAAAGAATAATGTGTATACATCATTGTTCTTGTAATGGTTGAGAGAACGGACAAGGGGGACTGATTCAAAATGTCAACGTCATTACGGATGCACAGATCCCAGTGCATAGTATTAACCTACTTTTGTTTAATTACAAAGGCAATCTTGGTAATTGGATCGGATTCAACGTCTCGCTGCGTATTCGGCGTTATTGCGCCGAAATTGCAAACTTAATTGCACACACATCGTATTTTTATTCTGGTCAACTCTACATTCGTTTTGTCGATCATCAATAATGGTTGCATTTCTATAACATCATCTCTTCATGCTATATGTTTCTTTGCACCACGTTAATTAGTGGTTCAGGGGGAAGATAATTCGCAAGCCTTTACCGAAGCGAAAAGTCACGTGCATTCGATCAGATTTCCATCATGTTTGTGACTTTCATGATTTAAATAGCGTACACAACGAAAGTGACAAATGTGACGTAGATTCATGTCACGTTACCGGGGAAGGGAAGAGGAGGAGCAGGAGACAGATGCTACATGTTGTATAAAAAGAGACAAGAATTAAAAAAGTAAAAAGATAAGTGATAAAGGAAATGGACGATGCGGAAGAGATATTTTTTCTTTGCGAGACTGTACCCGAGAAGCATTCGATATTGCACTCGAGAAATATTCGATACTGTATCCGAGAAACATTCGATATTGCATATGGACATAATTCCAGGATTTGTTGAATTAACCGCACTCCTGCCGCAATTTGTCTATTATCTCGCCGATACGAAGAGTTTTGTCTTTGTCTCTCTCTGCGCAACAACTATCAATTTCTGTACCAACTATTCTCTTATACCAATCAATACGTTGACACTCTCGTTATTCAAGCCTTCCGGTCATTTGTATAGACGATGACATATAAGGATTGTAGTTACGATTTCTTCTCAGAGAAGACGCAATAGCAAAAAACTCATGCTAGAAATTCTTTTCTTACAATCTATAAAAGGAAACGAGATCGTGCACACGTAAGGAAAGTTCATATAGGATTAAGAAGCAACGTGAGTCACGCAGTTCTTTTTTCTTCAAATATGTTTATGAAATTAATTGCATGTGTCAAAACATCCGATCTTTAACCGCAAACTCTGTGAGAGCCTTAAATACCAATGCCTCATCTCTGAATGATAATGAGTGTCATCTGTTTCGAGATGATTACTGACGACGATTACTAAATAAATGAAAATATTTCGTCTCTCGTCTCTTTTCTATATATCAAAGCAAAGATATATCATAATTTTAAAAATAAAAATTTGCACAAAATAAGATTCAATAAGCAAATAATCAATTCGTATTCTGACTTGATAAAGAAATTTGAATCTCTCATGGATGATATAAGTGAAAAATATTAATCTGACAAATATTCGTATCATATCTGGCAAATGTTCGTATCAGTAAAACTTATTATGTGTATGAGACATGATATAAATATTTCTTGCAGAACAGAAATCGTGAAATCGGTTCCAGATAACCAAGATAGCAGTAAGATGATACCTGCGCTCAAACCATAGCAATAGGATATATTTTATTCCCGCATTTGTTCCTCGATGCATATCTTCCGTCGAGGCACCGATAATATAGTGATATAGACTATTGGTGTCGGGTAATAGAAACAACTGGATCACGTTTTTCGTTAATTTAAAATATTTATTCAATCGAAAAAGATAATCGCACATTGAGAGACGTTTTTAATTGTCTTATAATTTGTTCGACATAGCACGCATCGCAATTGTTGCAGCAGATCTTGTATTTGCAAGAACTTGAATTTAATGATCACTATTCTATTAATAAATGATTATCTTCTTAACTTTATCTTTGATAATATTCATTCTAGATTAAAAATTTTATTTAAACGAGATGATAGATTAAGTATGCCAAATACAACAGTGCAATCACAAGGAACAAAATGATTCACTTTACCTTTTGTTCTAGAAATTGCGACCAAACTCAAAAAAATTGCTAATGATTTCAATGCGAAACCCACGTTCTTTAGTATGAATAAATTGAGAAACATAATCAAAGTTCATAGCGACACTCTATCAGCACATCCCAAAAGGAATGTAGTATACAAGATCTGCTACAATAATTGCGATACGTGCTATGTCGAATAATTAAAAACGGACTGCATGAACACCAAAATCATATACGCAGAAATACAAATACACATTCAATCATTACCAAGCACAGATTAGACTACGACCACAAATTTAACAGAACAGTGTGAAAGTATTGGACTGTGAATGAAATTTACAGAAAACGACTGATTTCAGAGATGCTTTTTATTAAAAGACAAAATAATAGCCTAAATTCACAGTCTGATACTGAATTCCTGAATCACAAATACGTTTCCGCCTTGAGCAAGCTGTAATCTCGGTTTTGCTTTGATTGCAAGCTGTTGAATTTAGAAGTCATTGCGCTCAGTTATTGCCTGGAGCTTAAGGCGTGCGGACGCACTGTGCGATGTGCTGCTCAGTGCGAACTGTGCCGTACTCGTGCACGTGCTTTCTCCGTTTTAGTATGAAATATGTTCATCTGATAATGAATAGCCTCTTGATGACTATTGTTTCGATTTTTTTAAAAATGACATATATGTACGGTCATAATAATTAGTAATTAACAATTTTATCTTCAGTGGACTTATCACATAAACACAGGATCTTATCCTTATTTTTATATTTACTGACGATGACTCAAACTTGAGTTGAAATGTCTGTATTATATATTAAAGTGTGTAATAAAGAATGTTGATTGCGCACTGTGAACTATGCTGATTTTCATTTGCCTTAATTTTTACATTATCAAGAGACACGGGTGGTGTCTCGACGCCAAGTTCACGCGTAGCGAAGTTCACGGCGGCGAGATGCCCGTGGCTCTACTTACGCGAGACCTCGGAATGAACTTGGTCTACATTTTCATATCTCAGCAATGACTGCATCGATTAAGTTTTAACTACGCTTAATCGATAGCTGAATATCAAATTATATGAGAAAAGTGTTTTTATTTTTTTTCTCCGCGTTCTACAAACTGAGATATCGCGACGCAATCGTGACGCAAAGTTCAAATTGGTAAATTTAAGAAACGTTCTAGTCGTCGTGACTGTCTTTTTTCTGACGCAAGAGACGCTAATGAACGTCTGTATGGCAGCTCTTGCAGCGCTCATTTTTTTTACTTGATATGTCTTTGATATGTCTTTGATATGTCTTTGACAGCTGTCTTTCGTGTGAAGTTATACGTATTGATTAATAAAAAAGAAGGTATAACGTGTGTCACATATAATAGTAAATAATATTGTAAGTAATATTGTAATAATATATAATACATTGAAGAAATAGAAATAGAAATAGAAATCGAATTAGATTTTTACAACAAATTAAATTATTAGATTTTTATTATATTATTATTGACAAATTAGATTTTTACAAAAAATTATTAACATTTATTAATAATTATTAACAAATTATTACATTAAACATAAATAATATAAAAAAACAATAACATAAAACATAAATTAATAACATATTAATAACATAAAACAACATAAATAATATGTTATATGTTGTATGTTGTAATTATGCCACGTCTCGTCCGGATGGATAACT